TATATATATATATATATATATATATATATATATATTAATTAACATTAATCTAAATGAATAAATACTGTAAAAATATTAATTATTTTTTAATTTTTGTGATACATAATGCATTACCTAATGTTAAAATTAAACATTATAAAGTGTTCTTGAAAATAAACTTAATTCAAGATGAAATTGGGGCAGACGTGGTCTAATGGTGAGAGGTTGCGGGTTCAAGTCTCAGGTCCGGCAGGAATTGTCGGTGGGGGGAGTGAATAACCAGCACTCTCTTCCACCCTCAATACCACGACTGAGGCGCCCTTGAGCAAGGCACCGAACCCCCAACTGCTCCCCGGGTGCCGCAGCAATATGGCTGCCCACTGCTGTGAGTGTGTGTTTGTGTGTTCACTAATGTGTGTTTGCAATAAATGCAAAGCACAAATTCCGATTATGGGTCAGCATACTTGTCCACACTTTACTTCACTTCAAAAATTTCTGATAACAAATCTTATCATGTTTTGAGGATGTAAAGAACAAAAATCCTGATTATGAAATTAATTTTGTGCAGTGTCCATATGTGGCTTTTACAATTTGTTGTCAGGACCATTCATGCTTTGACGCCTACCCAGTCGGCCTGTCTCTAGGCAACTCATTCTGTGTGTATGAGTGTTTATTTCTGTGTGTGTGCTGTAGTGTCCAGTTGTAACGTCCTACTACCTGAATGCAGTGTGTGAGAGAGAGAGAGAGAGAGAGAGAATGGGCTCTGATTACATTGTGGATAATTGGGCTGAATTATACATGGCCTTCTGCGCATGCTCCTCCACAAGAGTTGTGTAATCTCTCTCTCTATGCGTCACAGTACACTGCTCTAGTGTAGGCAGTGTCAGTTTCAAACTTACTTAAACACTTACAGCAGCTTGAAAGTTTCCATTGAATCACCTGTCGTGATACATGTCCACTGCTCCTTGTCTCTCTCTAGCTGCGTTTACGTGTAGGATCAGGAAAGAAGAATTCAGAAAAGATAAACTACCAGTAGTGACTAATTTATCAATTCTCAATAAATATTTTTTTTTTTTCTTAAACGTCTTGTAATTGAACATGATGTAGTTCCCTAACAGTTACTGTTTCTTCTCATTGGCAACATTTACTTTACTAATAGGATTTCTGGACATTGGATTGTACTTTAATGGGTGTATATATGAATGAATGAATGAATGAATGAATATGTATATATAGTAAACATTGTCCCCAAAAAAACACTTTCGGACACTTGAGGCACACTTACAAATATCTGAATGTCATTACATTCGATACAAATTTTCAAACTAAATGGTTTCTGTAAACAAATGATGATCTAACTGCAATGATTTTTATCTAACTAAAGTGATTTTTAGTGGCTGTATGAAGTTTCTATTTCTATATATTGTTTTATAATTTGAACAAAATTCTTTTTTTGTGAATTGTTTTGCTTAAAATAAAAAAATATATAAAATAATAATAATACAATTAAAATTCACACATTTTTAATGTGGCTTAAATGTCCAAAGTCTTCTTATGCAACTACTACTACTTGGTATAACTAAACTAAACTAAATATATAAATATAACTAAATACTTCACTCTATGACTACTCTGCTGAGCTAATTCTATCTGCCCTCTCTGTTTGCACAAACCACAGGAAAGGCGGCTTCACATGTATGTGGTATATTGCCAGAACAAACCTAAGTCTGAGCACATCATGTCAGAATACATCGAGACCTACTTTGAGGTAAGTGCATGTGAAGTGCAACTACACAAACACATGCATACACACTAGTGGAGTCCTCAAAGACGCTCAGGTTAAGCGTGAGGGACTGTTTTGTCGCACAAGTCCATCTGTGTACATATCCCAAGGCAGACTTTCTCGCTCTCTTTCCATTTGCACTGTGTGTGTGTGTGTGTAATAATCACACAGGGGGCATGAAGGCCCCAACTGACCCATCAATTCTTGGAACAGACAAAACAGGGAGATGCTTGATCGAAAAGTTTGACACTTAATGGATTCTTCTCAGTGCTGTGCCAAACGAGGTTTGATAGTTGGCATTACTTTAGGTTTTATAGATTGAGATTGCAGGGCATTATGGGATAATGGATCATGGAGAGTGTTTGGCTATGTTTGGGTTGGAATACCAGCATGTCAGTACATAAGCTTAATGCATACTTTGCAGTATGTACTGTATACTGCTACTATTTTTTTTAGTATGTGAAACAGTATATAAAATGCAGTTAAATTCAGTACATGTTACCTAGCTACCATTTTTTTAAATAATTTGTTTTAAAACCCAATTTTGGTCTTAATTTTGGCAGTCTGATCATATGATGTGTCAAGAAAAAGATGGTAAAAGTATAAAATATGAATTGCAATAAGCTTTATTTGCATACTGAATTTTTTCGCTAATGAAATAGACCATATGGGTACACCATTTTATACTGCACACAGTATTCGTACTGGAGAAAAATAACAAAATAAACAACATTGGCTTTCTCTCTTTCTGCATAAAGGAATCAGTCAAATCAGGTGAATGTTTGTGTGCAGGAACTGAAACAGCAGCTGGGTCACAGGCTGCAGCTGAATGACCTGCTCATCAAACCTGTGCAGAGGATCATGAAGTACCAGCTGCTTCTGAAGGTGAAACAAGAGTGCAACGCACAGACATACACAAACACACATCACACACATTCTTGTGCACTCATGGCTCATTCAGTTAGGAGTTTTGTGGACCATGTCTAAGCAATTCCACATTCATAAATAAAACTACAATATCAACTTATTATCAAAATATTGATGGAGATGTATTTGATTTTAAGAGTGAAAAAGAAAGAAAAATGTCCTTAGACGCACTTTGTATGTTGACCACTTAAATTCAAATTTCATTTTAAATTTTGCAAAATATTTTTCTATATTCTAATTATATATAATCAAATTAATGTGTAAACAGTACTTTCAGTGATTTCTGTTTTATATACACTACTATTCAAAAGTTTGGGATCGATAAGAAATTTTTGAAAGAACTTTCTTATGCTTACCAATCCTGCATTAAAAACGGTAATACTGTAAACTATTATTACAATTTAAATAACTCTTTTATTCCTGTGATGGCAAAGCTGAATTTTCAGCTGCCATTACTTCGGTCTTCAGTGTCACATGATCCTTCAGAAATAATTCTAATATGCTGATTTGGTGTTTGAGAAATATTTAGTAATATTATTAATGTTGAAAACAGTTGTGCAGTTTAATGTTTTTTGTGGAAACCATGATGCATTTAGTTATTTTTAGGATTCTTTAATGAATAGAAAGTTCAAAGAACAGCGTTTATTTAAAATATAACTTTTTTTTACATTATAAAATGTCTTTTCTGTCACTTTTGATCAATTTAATGTGTCCTTGCTGAATAAAAGTATTAATCTCTTTAAAAAAAAAAATCTTTTTGACCCCAAACTATTATTATATTATATATTATACTATTATATATGTATTCTTATATTCTGCTCTGGTTGGGAATCACTGCTTAAGAAGACATTGCATTCTTTGTATGCTGATGCCTTTGGTTTTAAATTTTTCCACAGTAACACCACAGACCTGTTACTATTCAAAACATATCTGAAGTTTATGGAAGAATAATAGTAAAATGTTGCCAACTGTCGTACCGTTAAATTTAACTGAAATCTCAATGGTTTTTCTTAGCTGCTTTGTAATTTTAGAGTCACCCACATACATTTCTTCTCATGTTCAAGTATCTACCAGCGTTCTGCACAAAATACACTTAATTAGTTTCCACACACAAAAAGCCATTAGTACAAATAGACCCTGATACAAAAGTAGAACATTCTAGAGCTCACGCTGTGTGTCTCGCGACAGGATTTCCTCAAGTACTACACAAAGGCTGGGATGGACATTGAAGAGCTGGAGGTACGAGTCACTCAGACACCATAATTATTATGCAAGTTTTATTTCTCAAGACCAGAAACACATAATCCCACCAAGGAACATTGTGTGATTCACTGACCATGCCAACATGTTTTTTTTCTTTCCTTTGGTGTCAGTTTGAGCCAGAAATCAGTAATACTGTACTTGCTCATAGGCTTTAGTAAGAAATTGAGGTCAGTTTCCACACATAGCTCTTTCTTGTATTCTGTTCTTCTACATCGTACTCTCTTGTCTTTCTTTCACTCTGTAACAGAAAGCAGTGGAGGTGATGTGTTTTGTTCCGAAGCGCTGCAATGACATGATGAACGTGGGTCGGCTGCAAGGCTTTGAGGTATGGCGCCAGACGCAGGCTGTGGTTTAAAGCTGTCGGTCTGTGGAAATACTGGGAGAGACTCTGATCCCCTAAAGCAGGGGTTTTCAAACATGGGTCTGCAAGGGAGTGCAAGAGGGTCTGAAAAACTTACTAATTTTATTTTAATCATAACATACAGTATATATATATATTTTATTCTTTTATATATCTTTTTTTCATAAAAAATTCCTGAAGAAATGTATCACAGTTTTCATTTATTCAGAAACATTAATCCATTTTTATTTCAATGTAGCATATTTACATATGTTTTGCATATATGACCCTGGACCACAAAACCAGTCATAAGGGTCCATTTTTCGAAAATAAATAAATAAGCTTTCCATTGATGTATGGTTTGTTAGGATAGGACAATATTTGGCTGAGATACAACTATTTGAATCTCTGGAATCTGAGGGTGCAAAAAATCTAAATATTGAGAAAAGCGCCTTTAAAGTTGTCCAAATGAAGTTCTTAGCAATGCATATTACTAATCAAAAATGATGTTTTAATGTATTTACAGTCGGAAATGTACAAAATATCTTCATGGAACATGATCTTTACTTAATATCCTAATGATTTTTGGCATAAAAGAAAAATCTATAATTTTTACCCCGTACAATGTATTTTTGGCTATTGCTACAAATATACCCCAGTGACTTAAGACTGGTTTTGTGGTCCAGGGTCACATATGTAATTTTTCCTTGCTTTTAGCTTGTGCACTGGTTGGATGATTTTTTGTAAAGCTTCTTTGGAATGATATTTATTCTAAAAAAAAGTGTAAAACAAACAATATTGGGTAAAGAAAAAAAACATATACTAGATACACAGCTAATGCAGGTTAAATATTTTCCAGATATTTTAATATTTTATTTAGGCTTTTATGTACAGTGACATCCAAAAGCCAACAAAAAGGTTTTTGAAGTAACATGATGTCTTGCATTGTTTTCATGATATGTGTATGTAATAGTAATAACACACACACACACACTCACACACACTGGTTTCCATGTTTTGTGGGGTCATTCCATAGGTGTAATGGTTTTTATACTGTACAAACTATTTTCTATACCCTTACCCTAAACCTACCCCTCAGACAAAACTTTTGCTATTTTAGATTTTCAAAAAACTTAATTCTGTTAAAAAAACTTAAAGCTGTTTTCTTCATGGGACCAAAAAAAAGTCCAAAAGGCACATTTGGTCCCCATAACATAGGGAATACCAGGTACACACACACACACACACACAGTTAGCTGTGTTTATATTTTAAAAAGGGGGTCCCTCAGAAGGGTATCATCATATTTGGGGGTCCAAAAGGGTTTGAAAACCCTTGCCCTAAAACCACATTTTTTCTTTTTATAAGGGGAAGATCACGGCACAAGGAAAACTTCTCCAACAAGACACATTCTCAGTCACAGAACAGGACAGCAGCATTCTTTCCCGTGCTAAAGAGAGACGGGTCTTCCTATTTGAACAGCTTGTCATCTTCAGTGAGCCAATAGACAGGAAAAAAGGATTCTCTCTACCTGGATATATTTTTAAGAACAGTATTAAGGTGAGTTTCCCCTTTTGTTATTTTCATATACTTTGTTATTATCAGGAAGTTATTATCATGTAAGGCTTCTGTATTATGCAGTATGTTTGCTTCTGCTTTCAGATAAGTTGTCTGGGTGTGGAGGTGTGTGTTGATGGTGACTCGAATCAATTTGCCCTGATGTCTCGGGGGGCTGATGGCAGCACGGTGCGTTTTGTCTTGCACTCTTCATCGCAGGACATCTGCAAGGCTTGGGTCAGCGACGTGAGCCAAATACTGGAGACCCAACGCAATTTCCTAAATGGTGAGACCTTCAAAGTTTCCTCAGCCATTATTGAAAGAAATATAAACTTTAGTCAAAGTAGCTGCCATATTTAAATGACATGAACATAAAGGTATAAAAGTATAAAAGGACAGTCTCTTCAATGTCAAACTGGGTTCCTTAGTATCAAGCATTGAATGTCAAAACATTGAAAATTCAACTTCACAAATTTCCAGTGGACAAAACGCTGGTTGTGAACATGAACTAGGAAATAATTTTCAACTGTACATCTGTCCCTCAAAATGTTTTTGTTTGTGTCAAATTAAATATGACTATCAGTTTTGTTTTGTGTGTGTTCCAGCCCTGCAGTCACCCATAGAGTACCAGAGAAGGGAGAGCAAGAGCAACAGTTTGGGCCGTAGCATGAAGCCTCCTCTGGCAGCAGTTACTGGTCTGAGGCCCCACTCCTCAGCATCTATCGACCGACACAAACTGCCCTGCCTGCGCTCCTGTAACACATCTTTGCCCTCTCTCTATCTGCCCAGCCAGGTCCCCACTGATGACCACTCACAGCCAGAGGTGAGAGAGTTCAATATCCTAATGATTTTTGGCATAAAAGAAAAATTAAAATAGTAAAATAGTAAAGCACCTCACAGATATAATATTTAAATGCAAACATGAGTATGTTTACTCTAGTCAGTCTTGCTGAGCAAGAATGGCATTTTCTGTCTGAGATAATTTATTATTATATTATTTCTGAACCCTAAGTTTCCTTTAATCATCCCAGTGTCATCATCTGAGAGGTCACAATCTTATGTTGTAAATGGATATAAATAACCTTGTTATTTCTTGTAATTTTGTAACTGCTGTGTCTGTCTGATGTTTACAGTCAAAACAGCGCTGTCCAGTGGACTCCAGACTGAATTCCCAGACGGTGTCTCCAACTCATGTGCAGCTGGCCTTCTCTGAAGAACCGTCATTCTCCCAGGCACCTCTAAACTGCCAGGCAGTTTCCAACGGGCTTTGTTCCTCTAGCACACAAGCCTCACAGGTACTGTGCACAATATGCTCACTTGAATTTGGTGTGCTCAGAACGAGCTTGGTGATGTTAATCATGCAATTATAAAAAAGAAGCCACACTGCTCCCCCTGCTGGTGCATGGTAGACATTCAATAACAAAAAAACAAAACAAAAAAAAGGGCTTATTTGCAGGACAGGTACGATGTCTAAAGCTCTGGATTTATGTGATTTAATACAACTGGTTTCCATACAAATTCTATTTCCAACAACACAATTGGAGTAAATAATTAGCTCATTTCATTAGAAATAGTGCACAATCTTGAATATTTCTTATTAATTTTTTTTTTTACCTCATAACGTCTTTATTCATATGCAAGACTGCTTTATTGAGGTTTTTCCTATTCTGAAACAGCAGCCTATTAAAACATCCCTCTCCGTCTACAACAGCATCTAGTCCCGAATGAGCTTTGATGACAGCTCAACAATAGTTGTGTGTGAAATAGCTGTTTATCTACTTTCCTCATGCCTGTGAGCAACAGCACTTCACAAACAGGAAGGAGACAGGTTGACAGAAGGAAGTAACAGATCCCTATCAAAAGCCTGATTGTTCTTGCAGGCTATTGGATCAGACTGGTGTTGGATCCAAGTGCTGTTTTGACTTCATTTCCCATGCATTTAAAACCAGCTACTTTTCATTGCTAGGTTTAATTTTATAACAGTTTATCTCCCATATCTAAATCTGAAATTATCTACCATCTAATTTAAATGACGACAATGATTAAATTTCTTTAGGCTGTATTAATTATATCAAGGAAAAAACAGGGGTTTCTTATATTAGCATTTTGATTGTTATTTCTGTTCTGATATTGAAGGTGAGAAATGAGTCAAGGACAGGTGATACCAAGGGACACCGAGCATAACTAAGATCTTTGGGGTTTATAATAAGTCTGAAAAGCTTTCAGAGTTTCTATAAAGAACCAAAACGGAAGGCATAAGACAACAGCACATCTGTCTCTCTTGTATCTAATAAAGATTCTTGAGCTGACAGGAGTGTTAAACAATATGTCGTCATTTCTGAAACTCTGTTGTGACAATTTTCAGTCATGCCTATTTTAGTCATGTCATTAACCGTGTAACAAACATATTACTCTTAATATCCTGGACTGCTCCCGGTAATTAAGACTCTTCAGCCATTTTTAGACTTGAGCTAGGCTTGTGACAGCTCATTATTCTCTGCTTGGGGAATAGACGAGAATTTCTTTGCTGTCTTGCATCACAAACCTTTATACGTTCATGAATGAAGATTTCACAAGAAGTGTCTGGGGAAAAATTTGAATCCTATTGAAGCCTGTGAGAGTTTAAAAAAATAAAAGGTAACCGAGACTTTATGTATCTCATATGCAACTTTGCAACATACCAGTTGCATTTTTTTTTATAATTGCGACTTTGTGTCTTATAATGTGATTTTATAGCTCACAATTGTGATTTTTCTTTCTCATAATTGTGGCTTTATGTTTCACATTATGATCTTGTATCTTGCAATTGCAACTTTCTCACAATCGTGACGGTTTCTTATAATTGTGACTATATATTGTACACATGCGACTTCATATCTCCCAGCTGTGACCTTTATATTTCGCAATGTGACAATATTTCGCATATTTGTGACCTAAAACCTGTAATTGTGATTTATACCTCACAGTGTGACTTACAGTTTTATCTTTTATCTTCACAACTTATTTCTAGTAATTTTTTCTAGCAAGTCTTTATATCTCACAATGTGACTTTTTATTTTGCAATTGCAACTTTATATCTCCCAATTTTGACTTTATATTCCACAGGGCGACTTAATATCCCGCAGCGTAACTTTACATCTTGCCACTCTGTTTCTCATAATTGTGATTTAACTCACATCTGCAACTTTACACCTTTTAATGTGACTATATCTTTCAATTTTACTTTTTATCTTTGCAACTTTATTTCTTGTAATTGCTTGTTTATATCGTGTAATTTGACTTTCACACTTGTGACTTTATATCTTACAATCTGATTTTATTTCTTATTTTAAACACTTTTTTCACAATAGACACAAAAAAACAGGCTTCCATAGAATCATGATGTTAATAATATGCTATTTAGAAAAATAGACCATCAGTGACAAAAATGGTGTTTATTTTCTCTATTGTGTCCTAGAGCTCAGGAGAGGGAACCAGACCCAGAGAGGGATGCATGGCTGTTCCTAGACCCTTCTCCACTCTTCAGCGCTCCAGTAACTTGGCCCAGCTTGATGAGGATGACCTGTGAATGGGAATGACCCTGAATCTGATGTTTGCACCAGAGCATGCCACAGTCTGGACTTTATTCACGTCTGTTGTGGTATTCTTCCTAAACCTATGACGCAAATTACCTAGTGACTTTTTAAATTTTTTTATATAATTTCTCGTTTTTTTGTTGTTGTTGTCTTTTAAAGTTATGTTTTGTTCAAAGGAGAATCAACCATTCCTATATTGGGAGGTCACTGGAGCAGGAACCAGAGTAAACCTTTATTTGAGGGTGTGAGGATGCGACTGGGCAAGCGTGTGTGCGTGCATGTATGTATGAATGTGTATTTGTGTGCTAAATTCTGATGGCTTCATCCTTGCAAACATGCTGAATGTTTTCCATCAGATGCATTTTGCAGAGAACATACTGTATTATTATAAACATATGAGGGTCCTTAGTGGGCTCGTGCTGGATTTTAAAGTTTTCGCACTATTGGTGCCTCTTTACAAAAGCTGTCTTTCTATATCCCGTCTATATTGAATGCTCTTGTGGGCTGCGTAAACTCTTATGACGGAGCTAAGGGGAAACAGACTCTAAATGCAGCTAATTTATATGTACCGTAGTTAGAAGAATGATCTGTGCATGAAGACACGGACGCTTGACTTTCTCTTCACTAACTGGGTGTTTGAATTCTCGAAGATCAATCAACTTCGTTGTCGTGGACAATGAGCGATGCTGCTTGCGGAGCTTCGTGTTCAGACTTTACAACTACAGGTGGACATAAGAGATCACACACAATGAGCATCTGCCTTGTTGAGCAGGAAGACTTGCTCAAGGGAAGGACTGAAAGATGGACCACAGTTGTTACGGCAGAAGAACATGCAGTATAAAAGTAGTTATCTGTGGTTAAATGACTCTTTTTTAGCTTCTGCCACCCCTCCTCGTGTAATGCACACTGCCTGGATTACTGTGCAGGTCTCGTCATACAAATTAAGGTTTCTGGATTATTAGATGATGATGATAATAATAATACTAATAATAATAATAATTATTATTATTATTTAAAGTTAATGAAGGCCAAAGGTAAAATGTTATATCATTATGTGCCAAAAGCAGGTGCCAGTACCCTTTACACAAATGAATAAAATATTAAGCCTAAAATGTAATTCAGTTCATGTATAGACCACTTGAAAACAAGCTAAAACACTTGTTTAAATTTGGGGAAAATGTTCTCATGAAAATGAGGGAAAAGGCTAAAGATGTCAACTTTTATTTTCCAAAATGTTCAAGACATTTTTGGTTATTGTGTTTTGTTTAGTTGTTTTATTGTTCTTTTTAAAGCAAAGTATTTATTAATGACAAACCAAATCATTAGTTATAAAGAGCACTGACATTGTTAATCAAGTCTGAAACATACAGTTTGTCATAAAACGTTAGATGTCTCACCAAAGAAGGGATGGTATGTGTTTGGTATTTGATGTTAAAGCATGATCAAAAAGCACTTTCACCCCGTTTAGCTCATTGCACATTCTTTCCAACAGAGGGTACCAGAGGACTTCAGCGCTGTATACACAACCAATCGGTCTTTTCCACAGATCAGTTTAAAACTTCAAATGCAAAACTCTGTACCAAAGCTAATATGCTTTACTGTCAGCATGTTTCAGATGCATTCGCATAAATATCCTTAAAATGATTGTAACAATCTTCTCTTGCCTTGATGTAATATTCAAATCTGCAGAAATCGAATAATTTGACATAGCCCTGTATAAACTGAAAGCTTTCCTGTACTGCCTTTCCACAAACGTGGATTTGAATCTTACATTGTTGCATGCTATTTTGAAGAACACCTCTAAATGATGAAGGAAATAATGTAGAGAAAGAATTGGACATGATTATGTCTATGTGACAAACCCTATAATTGTATTATATAAAATTAAACTGGTTCCTTTTGGAACACGAGTGTTTTGGAACACACAATGTTTCCTTTTCTACTGTATTCATGGACGTTTGCTGTGCGGTGTCATTCAGGATGTGTATTTGTGGTATAGGGGAGACTGGGGCTAGTTGTCACGCTTAAATATTTTTCAGAGTATAGGATTATTTCGGAAAGTCAGTTTCTGTATAGAAACAAACCTACAAAAAGACCCAAGATGGCTGATGAAACCACAACGAAACCTGCCATTAGACAGCTTTTTATTTGTCCAGTAAAAAAAACAAAAAATGATTTGTGCAGTAAAACAACTATCAATTAAATTGTAATGATAAATTGTATAAGATCATAACATGTAAATCATCTGACAACTTGCCCTGATATTATGAAAACTATTCTTGAAAACAGTTAAACCTTTCAATCAAAATAAATCTAAAATTATAATCTTCATTATATAATTGACCTTTTTTGTGTCCCAGTGTGGTTTCATTGTGGTAATTAGTTCATCCAAGAAATTACAAAAATACAGTTTGAAACTAACATACAAAATCGCTGCTCTAGAAAATAAATATCTGTTTATTAGGATTTTTGACTGAAAACTTTTTAGTTATTGTGACAACTTGCAGGTAAGCAGGTTCTGGTGACGTATAATCAGAAGCAATTTGTCAGTACTGGACTTGCTTGTTGAATTGTTTATGATTAAACTCCATCAGACACTTTATGTTGACCTGCATGGATGAAAACCTTTACAGTCATCAATGTTTTGGTGCAGCTCAGCTTTTTTGTTAAAAAGATAAAGAATAAAGAAATGTTTAAAAACAAAAGACAACAAAAAGATATCCTCCAAATCAGTCAGCTTTCTGTGATCCGGCTATAGGGAATCTAGTTAACACATGCAGACATCTGGTTAATTTGTCTAAGTCACATTCTAGGCATTCTTGAGCAGTAAAGGGTTCATTTACACATGCACACAGATGGGGGAAAAGGGTTTTTGAGCATTCACTATCACAAAGGTGCCAAATCAAAGTGACTTCTGTCACGGCCAGTGGGATATAAACAACTGGGGGTCCATTCACAGTGAGCTCCAGTAGAGCGCTATCCTCAGTAACTGTTGTCTGTTATTTACACCGGCCATTACGAGACAACATGACTGTGAACTTGATGGGAGGAGGTCAGACCACTGTTCCCATGAATGGCCTGACTATTTAGTGACAACTGTAAAATGTCTGAAGACTCTCCAGTCATTTGTCTTTGTTTTTAAGTGCTTCCGTGACACCTTGGAAACAATGGCCACCTTAAATTAGCATCCTGAATGCTATTACATTACCATTAGAATAAATGCAAAATGCTGAGGTCCGACACGCCGTGTTAAATTTAACATTAGTCATTTGCTGAACTTCACACATCTGTTAAAATGCACTAAGTGTGCTTGACAAGGTATTAAACACTGTGAAGGAATGAACAAAACGAAGCACAAGATTTTGATTTGCACAGTTATTCATGTTTATTAGTATTTCACATGCTGGTCTATAGAACTGTGCACTATTTAAACATTATATACATTTGGTTCATGTCTTGAAACTATAGGGATTTAGATTTAGAGTGAAATAGAATTATAGCAGTGCCATTCTCTGCAAGAAAACAAGACCTAAAGTGATCTGTCAGAGAATAATGTTGGCAAACTTTGCAACCCGAACTCATGATTTCAATATAAGGCGTCAATTTCCCCTAAAAGACTAGAAAAAAAAGTAAACAAATGACATTTTCACCAAGTAACAAATACTTTTGATTGTGCTGTTCAGAGAATTTTCTTTTGAATTAAATTGAATATTCTTTAAATAAATGTGCAAGGGCAAAGTTTGGTCATAAGAAGTCTTTGCATCCAGAGCCATAAAAAATGTCACTTATGTCAGCTCTATCACTTCCGCTGTGACCTAAAGTCTCTTTAAAGTCTCAAAGATAAATTTCGGTGCAGCATGGTGTGCGTTCGCTCCAGTGTTCTCAAAAGAAACAGGCCCATGCTCCCATTGCTTTTTGGATTATCTGTTTAACCATTTCACCTTTTATATAAATTTTTTTAGATGACGCAAATGGCCTCAAAGGGTCTCTGGTTTTCATTCCTGATATGATATTGAGTTCTTTTGCATTCAGCATCTTTTACTCTCTCTTAATGTTGCTTAGCCGTGCATCAGTCCCATTGTGTGAAGGCTGACTGGACCGGCTCTTCCTGCTCTGGTGGGTCTTCACATGCTTGGAGAGGTGATCGCTCCGCATAAACCTTTTCCCACACTGCTGACAGCCGAAACGCTTCTCCCCGGTGTGTGTGCGAAGATGCCTCTGTAGCTCATCTGAACGCGTGAAGCTCTTTCCACAGAAGAGCCAGTTGCAGATGAAGGGCCGCTCGCCAGCATGCCAGCGCAGATGTGCTTTCAGGTGAGAGGTTTTTTTGTAGACCTTGCCGCAATCTGGAATATGACAAATGTGTAGTCTTTTCTTCCCGAACTCCAGAGCAGCACCTCCGTTTCCCGCGGACTGACAGTTGGGGCATTTGCACCTGCGACAGCGACGAGTTGAGCTCAACAGACCTTTTGAGGTTCCTTGCAGAAGAGCAGCAATTTGAGGCTGGTGGCCCAAAACCAGCTGGCGTCCCAGAGAGAATGGATGCCCGGAGGATGCGCTGTTACTCTGAGGGAGACTCCACCACTGCTGGGCGTCCTCAACATGACCACCTGGCAGGTGAGGTCTTCCTGAAGCGTTTTGAAGGAAGCTAGGAAAGTTCTGACCCACAGCATTGTGCTGTGTGTAGTATGGTGCGTTCCCCTGCACCTGAGAGGAGAGCATCTTTACTGGAGACAGATCGAACGAGTAGGCGGACGGAGGCTCGGCTGGAGGGGTGAGGGGGAGCTCGTGGTGGTGATGGTGGTGATGATGGTGATGATGGGAGTGCGAGCCCAGGGTGGGCTGCATGTGGCCAGGGAACTGCATTTTGGGCACGGTGAAGGTCATCTGGTGAGCGCTCAAGCTGGAGTTTGGGGCCACGTCGTTGCTCCAGAGCTGAAACATGCTGGAAGCAGAGGCCACCGGCCCCTCGTAAGGGAGCTGAGACCCCTCCTGCCAAGCCTGACTGCATGTGGTGGCCAAAAAGGAAAGGGTGTTAGGACCACTTTCTGGAGAGGAGCTGGGAGTACGATCCTAGAGAGGAAAAAACAAATAATTGTAACTAAATGAAACTTCATACTGTCATATTCATATATACAAAATTGATTTAGAATTAGATCGAATTTTATTTGATATAAAAAAAAATTCTTTTTAAATAAGCTTGATTACAACCTTTTTTTTTTTAGCTTTTATTATTATTTTGGAATCAATTTATTTATTAATAAATATTTCCAGAATAATAATTAAAAAAATAACTAATTTTACCATTTTTTTTTTACAGTGAATATATTGAATACAATACAAAGTCTTGCCAAAGAGACAACTTGAATTGCACTTTTTAATTTAATAACTGCTCTGAAACTCAGTATAGTTCTTAAAATTGTGACATTTTAAATGAATGGAACATAGATAGATAGATAGATAGATAGATAGACAGATGAAAGAAAGAAAGAAAGAACGAAAGAAAGAAAGAATTGCACCACAAATAAATGTTATTCTGCGAAAAAAAATCTAAGTTGTTGATTTAATTGCGCCAAAGTATCACTATGAAATTGGAAGATGCATGATTTAAAAATATATATTTTAAAAACAAAAGTGCAGTACCTGTAAGAAATTGTGCAGGAAATTGTCCGCTTTGGATAAGGTTAACGCAGCCATGTGTGCATGGGAGCTTCAAGATATCCACACTTGCGTAAAGCGCGGCGCGCAGTGCGTAACCGTGCCAAAGTCAGAGCGTACGGGCGAGGAGGCGCGCAAAGATCCTGCTCAGATTGACCCCGTTACACAACCAGGTTACCGGTGCATGAGTTTAGATATAGTGATCATCAACAATCCTTAGATTCTCTCTTCCTACTCCTGTCCTTTATCGGTTGTACGAGTCTTTGGCCACTTCGCGCTCTTGCTCCTGGTTTTCTGGGTCCCTTTTTCAAAAGAAGCGGCTTTCAAACCAGGACTCTTCCTTTTGAAGTGCGACTGAAGAGCCTGTCGCAATAAGTCCTGAGGATCATTTCAAAGGCGGTCGGATCGCATCTTCTCTTTATAGGGAAAAGATCCTCTCGGCGGGGTCTCTTAAGTATGTATCAGGAGGGCCAGTGAATGGAGGAGAGATGCGGTGGGGGAATATTGGGGAGGGCAATCTTTGGGAGATTAGCAAGAGGGGTGTGTATTATAACCTTCATTTCATTCTAATTGAATTTGGCCAAATGTTAACCTGTGAGAACCCCTTTACTTTACAGGTTGTTGGTGAGAAAGATTGAAAAAGTTTGTTTACATGTATCTGATATTTAAAAGTTTAACGACTGGTTATTTTGTCACAAATTATAAGCGAAATAAGCACACTTGCTTTTTACAATCAAGACTTTATAATAACTTTAATAATACCAACAAAAAATTTCCACTCGATTTTAAGTTTCAACTTAAAAAAAAATTCCACCATTAATTAAATTAAAAGTGGTTAAAAGTGCAACGAACCACTGCAAATTATAACATTTTCCATTTAAATTTGTTTTAAATATTTTGGCGTGCCGTTGATGTGCATTTAAAAATTAACATGAAAATATATATATTATGAAAATGTGACATTTCTGTTTAATTGCCATTAATATAGGCTAATGAAATATGTTTTCCTATTGTTAAAGTTTTTGGGGTTTAAAGTATTTTATGTATATTAGTTCCACTGTAGGCTGTTTGAGTTTTCTGTTAATCTGTTTTTTAATCTCTTCAGCTGTTATTAGCTGTCTACTGATCATTCTGGAAACACGACGTAGCCTATTAATTATGACGCTAAATGATGTTTGAAGACGATCGAGTTAGGTATTATTCTTGTCCCGTTAATAAAAGCGAATGAAGAATCTATATCAGGCAATCAGGAACTTGTAAAAGTTTCAAACAAAAAGAAATGAAATAAATCTCTTTGCACACTCAGTAGTTCGCACTCTGAAGTGATATTATAAACAAAGAGCCCCGCGTGACATTTTCACACTCCGGGTTCAAGTTAAGGGCGTCATCACATTTAAAGAGATTAAATAGAGAGCATCCAAAGTTCATCTAACACTTTGAGTCTTTCTCTCAGAGAATTTACATTGAAGTCGGAAAGCCATTTAACATCTTAATACATAGAAAATCCTCACTGCTTTGTGTTGCCTCTCACCTCTAGTCGCATAACAATCGACCTTTGTCCCAGCAGATGCATTGCTTTAGTCTGCTAAAATATAGGCTACCACAGTGATGGAGAAATGAGATGACACGTAGGAAACGTGCTAAACTTATATAGGCTGTGTCGTCTTCAGATCGCTCAAATAAGATTGAGTTGCTTTAACATTAATTATTTTCTAATGTGTCTTTTTGAAATTTTATTTTGAAGACTGTCTTTAAAATAAACTAATGTACTCAGTCCATTAATGACTGTTTATAGCCTACTGAGTTAGTGGTTTCATTCACACATTGAAAGAAAGAAGAAAAATAACCTTGTTTAATAAGAAATGATCTCGTCATGTCTTGTTTTTATAATAAGCGAGAATAGTTGATCAGTTTTGTTGAGATTTATTATTTTGCAGGATATATTATGCCTCGGGTTATTAAAAGACAAATTTGTCCTTTTTCACAATAACTGAACGAATGTTTTCTGTTTGTCTGTTTATCTTGAATTTGACTGACTGCTGACTTCCTAGAGTTCATTAAAATAAAAACAAATTAATCTATAATATTCGTAATAAAACATGTATGAACAAATTTAACCATCAACATCCTTTTGTTCAAAATTAACCTGCAAAATTGTTGCTCTGTGTAAAAAGCATGTTAGAGAGACTGAATTTTAAACACAACATGATAAACAGCACATCCCTGCACTGTATGGGGGGCAATTAAGGTGTGTAATACTAATAAAACAAAATAATAGTCAAAAAAGGGGGAACAGGTAGAGGACGATATAACACATCAAATATTTGGTCGCTTTACATAGGGGAGGCTGTCTCTGTCTCCTTTTGCGTGCTTTATTACGGAGCAGAAGTTGTTAATTACCCAGATTCTTATTTCCTGTCCCCTAAATCCCCCCTCCTTCCCCCAGCCACCCCCACTCCTCTCACTGCCTCCCAGATGAGTGTCTTTGAAGTGCAAAGTACGCTCTCCTCACTTTGAACTGTGCAAACAATGCTCCAGTGGTTGTGCTTACCTTCCCCATGTTACCTCATTTAAATAGACCTGGATACGGCTTACGCCATTTTCAAGGGAAAACTCATTTCCAAAGCAAGCACAGATCCCAGCCTTCATTAGGCAGCTGTAGAGATGGCAGGCAATCAGGAGAACTGCCTTTAACAGAGGTTTCAGCTGCTGTTAGGTGGCTGCACACTATTTCCTGAGCATGATTGGTTTACTGCATCCTTTCAGACATAAAATGTTTGGCTCTTCCATTTATATGGTTTGAACTGACATTAAATTCTTTGAAATTATGCTTTGAATTGAAAAAAAATTGTGCAATACAATATGTATTGCTAATTTACAATCATTATTTATTTATTTATTTTCTATCATTATCGTTCTTTAAAACATTATTTAAATTCCCTTTTTTCCCTAATTTCTAAAATGTATTATTGATCCAGACAGCAAGAGTCTTACTTTTCTCCATCATAAATGCAAAATCCAAAAGAAAATAGATAATAGATTTCCAATAGAATTATAGTAACATTATATGTCAAAATGATATTATAAAAATTATATTATACATAAAGAATATAATATATAGAATATTTTTTGTTTTTCATTATGTAATCTCAGACAAATATTGTTTTAAATAATGGTAGTAAATTAGAAAATAAATTCTAATTTATCATATAGAATATATATATAGAATATAGATTTAATTTAACTAATTTCTAATTTATAAAATGTGTTATTGATCCAGACAGCAAGATTCCTACTATTCTCTATCACAAATGCAAAATCCATTCATTCAAAGATCAATGTCCTCATAAAATGAACAAAACAATGGCAGGCATGCTGTCAAGCTGTTTTTTAGCATGTCTGGAGGGCAGTTTAAGAGTCTCAGATTGCTAAATTGTCCCAGCTGTCTTGACCATCTGCACTCCAAACAGTCAGCCACAAGCTTTTGTACTGTTGGCCATCTCCAAAAGCCAGTTTACAGCCCCACATGGACTAAATGACTCGAAACCCCCAACTTGACAAATGTGGCATAATGGATGAGACAGAGTGCATGTAAAAACCTGCTGCCCCCTGCATCTTTCCATCTAAAACACTAATCAATACAATCAGGAACAGCACTGGTCATAATTATCACGACAAGGAATGTCAAGGAATGTTGAATAGTTTAGGATGCTGCTGATGCTGGGTTTTAGGCCTAGCTTACTGATGAATTTGCACATATATTTGATTTAATTGGCATAAGCTCTCATTTAAGGTTCATATAATGCATCTTTAGAACACATGAAACTGTAATGGACATTATAAAACAGAAAGGATTCTTGAGGCATTGGAGGTTCTTGCATGGCAGAACCCATATGGAGAACCCTTAGCACCTTTTGAAGGGGCCTCAAATATCCTATGTTAGTTCTCAAAGAACTTAAATATATGAAAACCTGTTTCTGCCACAAAATAAATAAGGTAATTGCAACTTTTTATATCATAAGTATTTTATTTTTTCTCACAATTAAAAGTTTATATCTCACAATTCAAACTTTGTTTCTTGCCGTTCTAAGAAAATAAGTCACAATTGCAAGACAGAATTGCACGAAATAAACTCAGAATTCAAATTTTTTTCTGGCAATTCTGACTTTTTGTATACATCTCACAATTCTGACCGTTTCCCTCTACATTTCTGAGTTACATCTCAAATCAGCTTTTGTGTGTGTGTGTGTGTGTGTTTCTGACATGGAATAAAAATAAAAAAGGTGATTGCAACTTTTTATCTCACAGTTATGTCTCGCAGTTGGGAGTAATCTCACGATTCTCACTTTTAAAGTATAGGTACAAATCGAAAGACAGAAGCTATTAAAAAAGAAAGAAAATTATTGAATTAAGAGTTAAGAATTGGAGTTATTTTACTGTGAAATGTTCACACAAGCCATTTTGAAACTATGAAAGAAATTGTAAAAAAAAAAATGCATGCATGTGTATGAAATGTTTTTAACAACTGTCCATTTGCATTAATATGAGATTGAACTCCATCATTTGTGTGTGAAAATGCAAAAGCACAAAAATCTACTTGTCAGAGAAACTTTTATCATTACTAGGGGCACTTGAAGTTTGTTTGCATTTTGTTTTTCAGTACTCTTAACAACTTCAGAAGTCAGATCACAGGAGCCTATGATCAAAGCAGCCTTCGGTTAGTTCAGGAAATACAGGAGCTATACCCCATGCTTTGATATTCTACATCAATATTTCAATTCAACAATCGCTTGACATGCGCCTGCACTCTCTGAGACGAAAGACGAAAGGAAAGAGTGAATGGAGGGGGTACTTGAACTGTATATAAAAACGAGAGTGAAGACTTTACAGCAAGGAAAAACTCCCTTCCTCAGCACTGATCTGCCTCGTCTGTCATTTAAATACACCCTGACTGCTTAATCCCAGAGCAACAATGGATGGTAAACCAGAGCGATTCAGGTCTTTGACCCACACAAAGTCATGTGACAAATTCTGAAAGTTGCCATCTGAAAGAAATTTGCTCAGTGTTCAAGGTTTGAAGAATACCTCAGCACTTTGAACTCTCACATATTGAAAAGACATCCTGTTTGAAGACCAGACATTCAACCTCAAGCACTCAGTTTCATTGGAAGGCAATGTGATACAGACTACCGTTCAAAAGTCTGGGGTCAGTAAGATTTTTTTTTTAAAGAAATTAATACTTTTATTCAGCAAA